CTCTCCTCTCCTCTCTTCTCCACAGAATGCCAAGCAGCTCATCAAAACGTAAGTGCTCAATTTGGGGAAAATCCAGTGATCCCAGCCCTGCAGATGGGCAGTATTTGACCATGGGGCTTTGCCAGTGGGGGGATGTCCTGACCCCTGGCACCCTGCTTGGCAAGGGGACAGGGCCACACACATCCATGCTCTCCCTGCCCAGGATCGTGGAGGCCTCCAAGGGTGGCAGGCTGGAGAAGATTGAGCAGGGATACGAGAGCATGGATGCCTTCTCCGTGAGCCTGGACCACCTCACCGAGGCTGTCCATGCCCTGGACTTTGACTTTGGTAATTCAGCCCCCACCCCCTGACCCTTCCTTTACCAACTCCTACTGATCCAGTGGCATCCATCACCTTTCCTGACACCCCCTGGTAACATTTGGCCTCTTGCTCACAGCAGAAGAAGATGAGGAATACTTCGATGGGGAGGAAGAAGAGGTGGAAGAGAATGCAGCGCCCGAAAGGACAGTGATGGGTAAGAGGCAACAAGGCTGAACCCACATTTCCAGGTCCCTCAAGCACCCATGGGGGAACTTTGTGGGCTTGGACCTCTCTTGACCTTTCCATCCTGTTCCCTGGCAGCTTCCCAGTAGCAATACCACAGGCACAGGATGTCTGGTGACGGATTGGGGACGGGGACACAGCCTGCCGAGCCGGCTCCTGCTCCAGCACGGGACACTTTTCTATACGGGTGCAAACAGGACAATTCCACACGTTTTATAATTTCCTTCTTTTGTATATAATTGTCACAGATCTGAAAATTTGTGTCTTTTGTAAAGAAAACTGGTGGTTCGGCTGGTTTTTATTTCCTCTTGTCTCATATTCTTGGCTTGCTAGACCTTGCCAGGGGCACTGGGGGTGTGGGTGGGTTTGCCAGGCTGGTGCCATCACTGGTGTCCCTGCTAGCACCCAGCGTGGCAGAGGGACACCTCCAGCCCAACACTAAATTTCCAGTCTCATTAGCACCTCCAGCAGTGCTGGCACCCGTGCCTGGCTGCCTGCCCGGGATGTAACAGGTCAGCACCAGGCTGGATTTATCTCCTGGTGATGGAATGCCCAGGCCAGCACTTGCCCAGGGTTGGGGATGTGGTGGAGAGTGGGTTGAGGATGCTCCAGGCTGTGCTAGTCCCTGAAATGGGTATGGTCTGAGCATTGAGCTGCTGCTAACTGAGCCCATACCACTGCAAAAACACACTATGGATGCAAAAATATGCCATAAATGTTTTTCTTCTACTAAAGCATCATCCTGGCTGAGCAGGGGCCAAGGGGAAACTGAGGCAGTGCCCACAAGGCTGCTCTGGGCTGAGTCACAATTGCAATTAGCCACAACAGTTGGAGTTGGAAGTGACCCACGAGGATCACTGAAGCACAACAAATCCAGGCCCTGCACAGGACACCCCAGCAATCCACCCTGTCCTTGAGAGAATTGTCCAAACACTCCTTGA